GGGGGGGGGGGGGGGGGTAGGAAACATGATACACTGTAAAAAATGTATATTTTGAAATAATTCAGACAAGTTTGTTTCATATTTCCCAAAATAAATTTTTACCAAAAATATTTCTTTCCTCTGATCTTTTTCTCAGCTACTATTCTCAAATTGAAGGCTATTAGAATTCTTATTATATACAATTATGCGATAAAGGTTTGGTTCTAGGCGAGAACAAGGGGTATATTCTCCACACTGTAAAATATTCTGCATTCTAGTTTTAGATAGGGAGGACTTTATTTGTACAATCTCAGCTATAGTTGATTTCTTATACGACTTTGCGGCCTTGTAATTCCTCTAGTTTAATTTCTTCACTACACAGATTGACAAAAAAAAACAGGAGGTCTGTATAGAAGTGATGAGGTCTGTATAGAAGTGAGGAGGTCTGTATAGAAGTGAGAAGGTCTGTATAGAAGTGAGGAGGTCTGTATAGAAGTGAGGAGGTCTAAATAGAAGTGAGGAGCTCTGTATAGAAGTGAGGAGGTTTGTATAGAAGTGATGAGGTCCGAATAGAAGTGAGGAAGTCTGTATAGAAGTGATGAGGTCTGTATAGAAGTCAGGAGGTCTGTATAGAAGTGAGGAGGTCTGTATAGAAGTGAGGAGGTATGTAAGGAAGTGATGAGGTCTGTATAGAAGTGAGGAAATATGTAGTGAAGTGAGGAGGTCTGTATAGAAGTGAAGAGGTATGTATGGAAGTGATGAGGCTTGTATAGAAGTGAGGAGGTTTGTATAGAAGTGATGAGGTCTGTATAGAAGTAGGAGGTATGCATGGAAGTGATGAGGTCTGTAAAGAAGTGATGAGGTCTGTATAGAAGTGAGGAGGTCTGCATAGAAGTGAAGAGATATGTATGGAAGTGAGGAGGTCTGTATAGAAGTGAGGAGGTATGTATGAAAGTGATGAGGCTTGTATAGAAGTGAGGAGGTCTGTATAGAAGTGAGGAGGTCTGTATTGAAGTGAGGAGGTATGTATGGAAGTGTTGAGGTCTGTATAGAAGTGATGAGGTCTGAATAGAAGTGATGAGGTATGTATGGAAGTGATGAGGTCTGTATAGAAGTGATGAGGTCTGTATAGAAGTGAGAAGGTCTGTATAGAAGGGAGGAGGTCTGTATAGAAGGGAGGAGGTCTGTATAGAAGGGAGGAGGTCTGTATAGAAGTGAGATGGTCTGTATAAAAGTGAGGAGGTCTGTATAGAAGTGAGGAGGTTTGAATAGAAGTGAGAAGGTCTGTATAGAAGTGAGGAGGTCTGTATAGAAGTGAGGAGGTCTGT